TTTCTTTCCCAGACTAAATTTAATAAACTTTAAATGCTTATCTTGCCTGTCTTATAAAGTCGGAGCTAAATTTTCTGATAATTATATTGATATTGATAGTTTCTTTGTCTTGAATATTTGGAATTCTTCTATCTTATAAACTTTGTTTTTTCATTGGCCACAACTTTGTTTTCTTTCTTTTTAAAGGGATGGCTAATTCTTTGCCCTTTCTTTTTTAGGCTTCAATCTGTTCTGGTGGAAATTTTTCTCATGGGCTACCATCTTCATCTGAAGATGACGTGGTGATTGTGGCGTAAGTTAGTTAATTTGGGAATGTGGATGCGAACTTACTGAGTATTTCTTGATTTTTTAAAATTTCTCAATCAAAGTATTAAACCTTTTATCTTATATAATTTCCTGCAAAACCAGTGCATACCGAACTGCAATTTGTAAGGCAAAGCGTGGGGGCTTCAAGGATACCCTTCCAGATGATCTCCTTGCCTCTGTTTTGAAGGTAAAAGTTATTCGATAAAAGAAAACATTGGAAGTAAAATTGTTAACAAAGAATTGGGTTTATGGGAACATATATAATGTTGCGGCTGGTATGATTTACCTCAATTATGAGTTCTCATGTAGGCTGTGATAGAGAAAACAAATGTGCACCCAAGTGAAGTAGGCGACATAGTCGTTGGCACAGTACTTGCACCAGGATCAGAACGAGCTATTGAGTGCAGGATGGCTGCCTTCTATGCTGGTTTCCCTGGTAAATTTCTTAATCGAATAAAAATGACTATCCTCAAATGCATCATTTTCAAATGCCAAGTTAACTATAGACATGGATTGAAAGCATGATTTATGTGAAATTCCAGACTGATTTTACTAGAATTGGAATTCACAGGTTTCTCCATCGGCACCTAATGCTTAAAATTGCTATGCTATTTTATCCCCAACTTCAATATGTGGTTTATCACTTTCATGATTCAAACAGATACAACGCCACTCAGGACTGTTAATAGGCAATGTTCATCGGGACTTCAGGCAGTTGCTGATGTTGCTGCTTACATAAAAGCTGGTTTTTATGACATGGGTAAGAGCGAATTCTGAATGTCCGTTAGTTTAAAAGATCTTGTTGTTGACTTTACCTTCCTATTATGTCATGCAGGAATCGGAGCTGGATTAGAGAGTATGTCTCAAGATACTATTACAAGGCCTTGCAAAATGAACCCAAAGGTGCATTAAAGATTTAATTTTTGAAGTCCATATTTTGTTTTACAGGTTAAGACATGGTTTATTAAGCTTTACTTTTCATGTCTGTAACAGTTAGAAACCTTTGAACAAGCTCGGGACTGTCTTCTTCCTATGGGAATTACTTCTGAGAATGTTGCACTGCGTTTTGGTGTCACAAGGCAGGAGCAGGACCAAGCTGCTGTGAGTATGACAAAATTAAATAAAATATGCTAAGAACCAATTACGAGATTGTCAAACTGAATGAAACTCTTTCGATTTGAATCAATAGGTTGAGTCTCACAAGCGTGCTGCAGCTGCAACAGCATCTGGTAAATTCAAAGAAGAGATCATTCCGGTTTCTACAAAGGTAAGTGGCAACAACAAAGATGAACTTTGTAATTGTAAAATTAGACATGAAATATTTTGACAAGGAGGCTTGCACAGCGGTAGCCTCTCTGCTCTTCATTTGTAATGAAATGAAGATAGAAATTAATTTTGATATAAACTTCTAAGGATAATGATAAAAGGTAACTTAGAATCTTCCATAAGAATGAACTTATGGTCTCTAAATAATGATAAACTTAAACCACAGATAAAGATATGCTCTTAATCCAAAGGAGTTCTACTTGAATAGATTTATTAACACTTATGATAAATTTCCATAGTTTGTAGACCCAAAAACTAGGGAGGAGAAGAAAATTATAGTTTCTGTTGATGATGGGATCCGGCCAAATGCAAATTTGACAGATTTGGCAAAACTGAAGCCTGCCTTCCAGAAGGATGGATCCACGACTGCAGGTAACCAGGAAATCTGTTCTTCTTCATTTTATTACTTTGGCTAACTCTTTAACCAGTGGTTTGCTTGTGTTGCGTCTCACTTTATCTTCTAAATTCAGGGAATGCAAGCCAAGTCAGTGACGGTGCTGCAGCGGTTCTCCTCATGAAAAGAAGAGTGGCTGTGCAGAAGGGATTGCCTATTCTTGGCGTATTCAGGTACACAACAATGATTGGGAAACAGATCAATTCTTGGGAGGAACAAGTCACATCAGAAGTTGAACTAGACGTAGCTCTGCATGTATACTGTAATACGTGACTAACTGGCTTGTCCGGAATTCATGTTATCTCTTATAACTAACCCTTATATCTAGTTAACAGAAAGTAGTATTTTAAGCAGTTAAAGTTAATCTTCCTTATTTTACCACTTAATTACAAAAGAAAAAATAGGCGCCTGAAAGCACTTATCTGGTAAATATGAACTTATTTATGGATGAGGCATGTAGTGTTACTTCACCTATTCATAAATGGATTCAGGATTTCAGGTGATACCCACCTGATAAATTATATAAGAATGTAGAATACTTTATCAAAAATTTTTGAAGCTTGAGACCATCTTCTCTGCAGTGTTCAAAATATCATAGATTGAGCTGTAAAATTATTCATAACCAGTCTTTCATCAATACTTTGAGGTCTTGTCAAGTACAGCCCGAATTGCTATCAATTCTCAGAAGAGGAAATCATCCCTAATTTTCTGTGCTAATACATTATGTTAAAATAAAATTGATGCACAGAGGAATTCAAACTTTCTTTGCAGTCTTTGTCATCTCATTTTGATTTCTGTAGGAGTTTTGTTGCTGTTGGAGTAGATCCTTCTGTCATGGGTGTTGGTCCAGCATTTGCTATTCCTCCTGCAGTGAAATCTGCTGGTCTTGATCTCAATGACATTAACTTATTTGAGATTAATGAGGTAAAAGACTAAAAGTTATGTCTTTCTTTCCCTAAATTGAGACAAATAGAAAATTATAACTACGCAATTTGTTCTTAGCAATTTGATGGTCTCGTACAGGCATTCGCTTCTCAGTACGTTTATTGCTGCAAGAAACTGGGACTGGATCACAGAAAGGTCAATGTTAATGGGGGTGCCATTGCTCTTGGGCATCCTTTGGGCGCTACAGGTACTCAAAAGTTGGGAAATTGTTCCATTAAAATTACTGTCATGGGAAACTGGAGACGTCCTTCATTTTTTTGTTGTTGTAGCATGTTTACTCTTCTGTTCTTGATTTCATATTATTCAACAGATCAATAGGGCAGTTCTCTGCTCACTTTTCATGCTGAATCTAAGATGCTTTATTGTGAAATTATATGCTGCCATTTTGTGTCAGGGGCTCGCTGTGTTGCTACGCTCTTGAATGAGATGAAGCGCCGTGGCAAGGATTGTCGCTTTGGTGTAATTTCTATGTGCATAGGTATTTTTCTACTTCTACTCCATCCGCAACTCAAAGACGTTCGATTGCTCTAGGAAGTTGAAAGATAATACAGAAGATACATATTTGCTCAAGCTTCACTAACTGAAATCAAAGTAGGTCTTTTGATGAAACCGTATATCATAAGAAACACAGTAGAATGGTTAGAACTCTATCTCAATGTTTACAGGTGGTCTGATGCTCTATGTTGGATTTCCGTGTGATAGAATGTTCATAATAAAATCCATTCTTGGAATCTTTTCCTAGAGCTTATTCTTCTGGGATGAATTGGTCTTTAAACAAGTTGGTATAACACAGAGACTGGCTTGCTCGGGAGTCTGCCTGATTTTCTTAGAAAAAGTAGTCTTATTCAATTGGAGAAAGTAAACAAGTAAAATTGTTGCTCTCTGCCATGATAGTAGAAGCAAAGGAGCAAAAATGAATATAGGATGTGTGTTATTAATTCACTGTCTTGACTCTGGACTAATAAAAATAACGAATTGTCCATAATCGTTGCAGGGTCTGGTATGGGAGCAGCAGCTGTATTTGAAAGAGGGGACTATTAACAGATCTGTACGATTCCAAAATGGTTGGAGATTGTGACAAGTACAAAGAATTGTTTATACACATGCACACATGTATGCGCCCACTTCCCCAGTGAAATTTTTCCTCTGTACTTTGTCATTAGAGTTTTCATTAGTCTATCTCAAGTAATTTTGCTTTGTATGAGATAACCATGGGAGATTTTTGTTTCATGAAGTGTAAGAGCTTTTTTTTATTATGGGGTTTTCCAAACATAACAATGTGATTTTTCAGTAATAATAAAATAAGGGCATGAGTGAAATTGAATGAAGAAATACACCACTGTCTGCCACGGAAAGAAACTTGTGATATTATTATATTTACAGGAAGTTCATGCACTTGTTACATCTGCTAACAGAATTGCATTTGTATCTCCAATTTTAGCATTGCAATGAGAAGCTTTCTCAATTCTCATTTTGGGTTTCTTCCTTACTGTTTTGCACAAAAATTGCCAATACCAGTTTATCCTCTTCTAAAAGAAAACTGTGAGATGAGTATACCATTTCTGGGAAATGACAATTTGGCTCAAGTATTTATGTTCCCCTGTTTTTTCCATACAATTAATCTGTTCTGCAGTATCAGCATTTGGCCATAAAAATTTACAAGTGGATCGAAATCTCCGAGAGTCAAATATACGAAATCTGTTCATAAGAAATATCAAATTACGCGTTGAAATATGCCCTTGTTTCTATCTCATCGTTGTCCTCAGTTGAGTACAGTTCTGAGATATTTTATTGAAGAAAATAGCAGAGGGAAGTCTACGGCTCACAAATCAGACGCGGTAAATTTCTAGTCTTAAAAATTATTATTATTTTAAAAGATCAAAATTACCATCAAAATTTTAATATTGACTTTTTTTTTCAAAATTTGATAGTAATTTGATATTTAAGGATAATGATAGTTTTTAATATTATTCAACCTGTATTTGACCAACGTGGATGCTCATATGTAAATTCCCCATAACATGTAACCCTACAAGGGCTTATCAGATATCCACCTAGAGAACATGGCAAAACATTCTTCAGACTTGTACTCTGGTGCTATATGTCCTGCACCCTGCAAGTAAAATTAATAAATATCCTCGGATTCTCACTACGGTAAAAAAAAAAAAGAAGAAATAAATTTTAAAAAACAAAGATAGTTCTCACTTTCAACAAGTAAATGCATTTTCTTACATTTTAATTTATTTTTTCCAAAAGAAACTTGTTCATACCTTTACAGTCGCAAACGTCATCTGATTTGAGTAAGTCCTCGTGTATCTGCTTAATAAGGAGATTATGTGCCGGGAACACCATAAAATTGAAATTTCAATTGAACTTACTTTTTTTTTTTTTAGTTTCATTTATTGAAATGTAATTCAATATGGAATTCAATGATGTAACACTTTAAAAGAAATATATTCGCCCTATTATTTTAAAAAAGTTAATATTAACGTGATCAATAACTGTTTCGCTAACATTTAGAATTTCAATATGAGCATTTTTCTTCAATGAAACTAACGATAATAGGTTTAAACAGTTGAAAAAACAATACAAAAGTGAAACCTTATATAAAATTAAATAACAAAAAATACACTTTTACCTATTTTCTTTTAATTCATTCAATTTGTTTTAAAATTAGATTATAGTTGATACTACCCACTAATTCGAATTCAAGTCAATCCAATCACATGCTCATTATAAACTTAATTTTTTTTTGGTGATTAAAAGAGTACCCAGCAACTTGGCCTTGAACGAGCCATGGCCTCCAGTCATCCAAAATTGTGTAGTTTAAATTTCTGATCCATGCTTGAGTCGCCATGAATGATATAACCGGGTCATGATCCCCACTGTATAATATTCAACAAAATTAAATTATCATTAATTATTTCGAAGCTAACTTTTTTTTTTTCCAAATAGAGTTATTTCATGTTGAGATTGAAACAAATCAAACTTTTTTAGTGTATCAAAATCATAAAAACCACATTCTCACACACACACACACACACACACACACACACACACTTCTCTTTTATATTTCTTCTTAAGAACAAAAAATCTCTATGAAAAATGAATTACTCACTTGTAGATTAAGGAACGAAAGCCTTTTGCACTGACATTTAAATGAAATTCAAAGCTGTTAACGATTTCAGACTTGTACTTCCCATCAAAACAACGTCGCCATTTCCCTATGCTTCCCTGCATATATAAGCCAATTATGAATTAATACGAATTAAATATTAATAAGAAATTGTTGGTATAAAAAAGAATATATATGCTCATAAGAGAAAGTGGGGATCATATTATTAAATGTGTCAAACCTTTCTTATATGCAGTGCCTTCTGAACGTTCTCATCGTTGGCCCAATATTTGGCCAGATGATACACATATTTCTAATAAAACCAGAGAAAATAGGAAATCAAATCGAATGATAAATTCTAAAACAAAATTGCTTTGACATTATGGTGATTATTTATGTAATATGTATGGAGGTTAATTATGTAATTTGCATATTGAATATTACCCTGCAACTTAATGGAGGCAATGTGTGATCCATAGAAGTAGGAGGAAACAACTGAATCTTCTCTCTGGAAACTTCTCGTGGCGCCTCACATTTTGGGTCCAAAATGTTGTAGAGATTAAGTCCTAAAATTAGCTGATGATTTACAGAAGTACAATTCATCAGAACAAGTTAATTAATCTCTCTCTCACACACCCCACTAGGTTTAGGAAAATAACAAGTTAATTAAAGTGACTTGCCTTGTTGAGATATTCGATGACTTTGGAGCAAACAACATTTTTCTTGTCTTCCACACAATGATCGTAGAATGACTGTTTACATTATTAGACAGATCCATATTTTTAAATCTTGAATAGCTCGAAACTAAATTAGACCAATATATCAGGTTATTTTAAGTAATTTTTGTGATGTGTCAGACAAATATGTCAGAGGAGTTTTATTTTGTAAAATGCCAAAGTGATTATTTGGAGCGAAACCAAATGAAGACTAAATATTGAGTGGTGTAAAATTAAAAAAAGAAAAAGTCGATAACTTGAGCAGACAATATTGAACCTAAAATTTGTACCGTGTAAAGTTCATCAGAGATTATTCCCATTCCATGCAGAAATGGGATCATATAATTCTCAGTTTCTGTATTTGTCGTCAAGGCGTTCCCTAGCACGTATCCCTGATGATAAAAAAAAAAAAAATTGAGATTAAGTCACTAAATTATAATTATTTTATGTCTTTAATTCCTTCCTTCCAAAATATATAGAAGGAATATAATTGATGATGAGCTTGTTTTGGTTCTACATACAAATTTTTAATCTTTTTTTATTTTCCACATTGATATGGGCAACCAATATGAGTAATTTACAATGTAAATTAATTAATAGAATGGATATTTTAATGAAATCAACACATTTTATTACAAATAACTAATTCAATTATTTTTTAATTTATGTAAATTAATCACTAGTGGAGTCCTATATAATTTGATCACTTTTTGTATTTTTAATTTTGAAAGAGGTAAATATTCATTTGGACTGTTTATTAATAAATATTCTCTGACCAAATACATATATCATGTGGAGGAGTTTTTTCATTACAGAATATATATTATATATGATAAATATTAAATTATTTAAAAATAATAATTAAGTTAATTAATGTATTGAATCAAAGACGATGATCGAGTACAAAGGGAAAATAAGTTACATAAACCTTGGGGTTAGATGTGGGCATCAAAACTAAGAAAATAAACAAAATGTATAAAAAAAATAGAGAGAAATTTGCAAACCTGGATATTTATCCATGGTTGGATGCCTTCTTCGTTTCCTGTGAATATAGATCCCAAATAATTAGCTTAATTAATAGTAACTAATAATATTCTCTTTACCTAATTAAAAATTATTAATAATATCCCCACCAAAAAAAAAAACTTGTGTGGGTTCGTATATCCTCACAGCAAAATGTCATAAATTTATGTTTACCCGATTATATATGCAGCAATGGACCAATAAAGTTATTTTCATGAGTAATACTAACTTCAGTCTTTGATATAAAAGCTAATTGACTAGTTTGAATAGATTAAAAAAATTAGTTAAATTAGTTATCTATAATAAATAGGTATCGTCTTTTCTAAAATATCTTTGTTAATCAAGTGTATTAAATAGAATTACTATTGTTATAAGGACTATCTTATAAAAAAATAGATAAATATGAAAGATAAAGTGGATTGGAGTTTTATATTTAGGATCAAAATAAAAGTAAGACAAGCTCTTATATTAAGGATCAGAAGTAGTATATGGATACTATATACTACCTCCTCCCATCCTAATTATAATATCTATTTTGTAGTGTAACTTGTATTACATAGTAGATCTTATAATAATTAGGATCAGAGGTAATATATATTATGTACTGAACGTTAATTAAAAAAATTAAATTATTTAAAGTTGTGTGCATACCATTTGAAATTTCTTGAGCAAGTACAGGGACAGGAATCCCAGAGTAAGAATCACCTCCAATATACACTTCATTTGAGAGAAATTCAGGATGATCAATCAGCCACTACAAACAATAACACAGAAAATAATTACGCTAGCTTAATGAAGAAAAGCACAATAGTTTCAAGAATAATGGAAAAATATATCACAATATTTTTTTATGCTTTCTAAGAATTAATTAATTATGATGAAACCTTTCTGAGAAATCGATGCGCTTGATGAATTAATTTCCAATCACTGGGTTGAGGAGAGGATAACGATTTTGAATAGGAGAAGCCAGTGCCAACGGGCAAGTCTGCAAAAATTATACTACTTACCTGCCCAAACAATGCATGCATGAATTAGAATTACTATGTAATTGCATAAATTTTGCAATATCCAACGATAAGCTGCAAATAACAAACCGTTATTTATTTGCGTTGATGAACTGAAACAGATGAAATCATCAATCAATTAATCTATGACTTTGAAATTAATACTCACATCAGTCCTAAACATATGAGCTAGTTAGAGGTTTGTTTTTATTCTAAATGTACATGAGACATCAATTTATTTTGTTTTACAAATTTGTAATTCTCTTTCAAAATAGTCTTGTTGATTACACGTAACAAAGGCAGTTTTCATCAACGAGAGTAGTTTTCAATACAATTAATTCAACTCCCTAAACTAGCTCATATATTGATACCGAAAAGGAAGAAGTAATAATATTTCACTACCTTTGTCCAAGCATGCGGCCTCAAGGTCAAATTAGGCAAACTGCCCTTGTATTCTTCCACTTTGAAAGCAATTGGACCTATACGACAACATAGACCTAATACGATTAATATATATATATATAGAGAGAGAGAGAGAGAGAGAGAGAGAGAGAGGAATGATAATAAGAAGAAGGTGGTTAAATAGGTACCTATTTCAAAAATAAGACCAGAAAAAGAAGAGCAAGCAGGACCACCAGATAGCCAAAGCAGAAGAGGATCCCTGTGTGGATTATTCTGTGACTTAACAAAGTAATAGAACACTTGTTCATCTTCTGATTGTTCCTCTCCCACTCCCACATACCTATACATCAGGAAAGGGGGGGGGGGGAGGAATGATATTTATATATGATATGATAAGCAAGGCATGTAGAGAATCAGAAAAGACTAAAGAGTGGGGACCCAGTCTGGAGATGAAAAGGAAGGGGCCCTTGGAATCCAGGAAGGTAATGTACAGTATTGGAGCCAGAAGCTGCAGTAAGCTGAGATGAAAGAAACAGAACGAGACACGTAACAAGTAGGATCTGACGATAATAATAATAGTAATAGTAATACTGATAGTGTTTCTGACATCCTCTAATCCCCATGTTCATTATTCCCTTCTCGCGTTCGTCTCCCAGCTTCCAGGTGATCTCACCATGAATAAGTAGGATCGATCGTATAAATAAGACAAATATTTATATATGTATATCTTTGTATATATTAAATAACAATCTCTGTGTGTATGTGTGTAGTCTCTTTCATTTGTATACTACAAAGCATAGCCTGGTGCGAGCTGCACGGATTCAAATAAAAAATAATACAAAGCACATGATCAACTTCCACGAGTATAATCAATATGAAATAATACATTTTAATATATAATTCATAAATTTAAGGGATAATACAAATTTTAGTTCCTTAAATTTGGACCTATTTTGATATTGGTCCCTGAAATTTTAAATTCGTGGTTTTAGCCCCTGAAATTTTAAATTCGTGATTTTAGTCCTTGGAATTTTACCCGTTTCAAACTGTTAGTTCCTAGTAGTCTCTAAGTTTTGCTGAGATGGCACTAACTCGTTGACATGATGATATGGAGCCTAACTTAGAAAAGTGAGCTGATCATGTGGCATGTCAGGGAACGCTAACCTGGACAATCAGAGGAAAAAAATAAACAGAGACGAGCTGAGGTAAAGCGCATATCAGTCGCACACACCAAATGATCTGGCTTTTTATTAGGGCATAAAAGAAGGAACGCAGTCGAAGGTTCAGTAGGGGAGCAAGGTCGACGAAGGCAAGAAGGACCGGTTGAACGCAAAGCTGTTTAAAATCATTTGTGGCCTATCAATTGCAAGTTTTGACCTCTCGTGCTCTTGCATGTTTTGGTCAACATTCAAAACCAAATTGACCGGATTATCTATAGCATTCACTTACTCTTCTTCTCATAACTCCTTTCAATTCTTGGATTGCTGCTAATACCCCATGACTTATATCAGAAACCTATACCCATAAAATTCCTCAAAAGATAGACAATCCTCTGCAACATTTTGGAAATATCTCATTATTAAATAGATCTCCATGAGGATTTCAGCTAATTAATATCGATGATGATGATGAGGATGATTTGATGTACCAAAAGCAGTGTGCATGACCTGGATTTAAAAACAGTCGGGAATGCATAACTTGCCAAAGCAAAATATTTAAACTCAGAATCTGGCAACCAGAAGTAAAATAATTTGTCAAAGCAAAATAATCAAACTCAGAATTGAGAAGTTGATGAATTGCTAGGCAAAGGTTCTTCGCGCAACAGACACCGGTAAACCCACTGCTCCGATGACGTCACTCTTTGCCGGTAATGTCAGTCCTCTTGACCTAACCCTTTTCCCTTCCCTATTCATTCGTCAACGTCATTTTCTACTTTTCTCCGTCTCTTTTCTTTTGTCGTTTGTGTGTGTTTTATTTGACCTATTGCCTTTTTTTTCCCGCTTTCTTTAACAATATATCCACATCATCATGCCACATATGTGCCACCTTGTCTTTGCACATCATCAAGTTAACAGTGTTAGTGCCATCTTAGGCAAAGTTAATGGCATGAAGTTACCAAGGATTAACGGTTTGAAACGGATAAAATTCTAAAGACCAAAATCATGGGTTTGAAATTTCAGGGACCAATATCAAAATGAGCTCAAATTTGATGGATTAAAATTTATATTAACCCATTAATAAATAAAAGATTAATATAAGAGACAAATTCACAGTTATTATTCTTAAAATATCAAACATTTTTGTTTTATGTTGTAAAGTACCCCCTTAAATATATGCCACACATTATTTCTTTTTAATAAATTTTTCAGAAAATTAATTTTTTAGTCCTCCAACTTTTAACCCACTTGTAACTCAATCCTTCAATTATGATCTGGTGGAACTCAGTCCCTAAACTTTTGACTCGCTTATAACTCAGTCCTCTATTTTTTTTTTTTGCTTTTTATGTTATTATCTTCATCATCTTTTATGTGTCAAACATTAATCCAAGTCAGCTCCAGATGGCAAAATTTCTTCCACCTCAGCTCCAGGGTTTGCGACTGCGGCCTCGCCTGCGTCCGAGGATGTTCCCACCTCTGATCATCTCAAGCTTCAAAGACCCTCCCTAGCCCAACTATCAGAAGCCGCCGACTCCATCCCGAATGCCCACATCGCATTGGAACTCGTCAATGTTCCCATCAACCTATTTTTTTCCCTGTAGAATGACTGGCCTTCTAACTTGACGACCTCTACTCTAATCAGCACCAACTATGCACTCACAATTCTTCACCAAAAAAAAAAAAACATTAGAATAAGCAAGAACCTAGCTTTTGATTTATATCTGCAGTTGATTACAGCTTTTGTGATTGGAAAGGTGATCCGATCCATGGATAGTGAGTTTGAGGAGGATGACATAGTGCTTCATCCATATTTACCAACAGCAAGAGTACTGTGGGGTGATCTCAAACACGTTAAAAAAAAAAAAAAAACACTGATCCCAACATTGGCATTTCATTGTCTGATTTCCTAAGCTACTTGGGTGGATTGGAAGTTGGAGGGAAGGAGAGAGGCGGCAGGAGAAAATGGGTACTGGGAGGAGAGAGACGGTCAGAGAGGTCCAAGGTGGTGTATAAGTTGGGTGAGTTCAGAGAAAAGGAGGGCACGCGAGCTAGAGGCCGCGAACGTGGAGCTGAATAAGAAGAATTTTTGCCATGTGGAGCTAACTTGGATTAATTTTTGCCACATAAAAGATGATAAAAATAATAATATAAAAACTTAAAAAAGTAAAGGACTAAGTTATAAACGAGTCAAAAATTCAGGGATTGAGTTGCAGCAAGTCATAATTGAGGGATTGAGTTACAAGTGAGGTAAAAGTTGGAGGACTAAAAGATTAATTCTTCCTAAATTTTTATTCATTATTTCTTATATACTCTCTTAACAAATAAAGATATAATTAAAAACATGTATATATCTTATATACTTATTGCTTTTAAATAATATTTTTTAATCACGTAATTTTAGTAGTCATTTCTTATAATAAAAGATGGAGGGAGTAGTAAATTTCAAAGTTTGACTTTTAAATTAAAAGGATCACTTGTAAATATAAGAAGATTAACTTATAAACCAATTTTTAAAATTGGAAGAATTAATAAAAAAAATTATGCAAATTCACTTGTGTAAATAAGGTGATAATGTTCTCCTCCTCCTCAACGTGAAACTCGATTATTCTTACTAAATTTAATTCTGTCAAATTAATAATACATTGGCGATCTCAAGGGAAATAAGTTTGTGCTAATAATACTATTCTTTTTTTTTACTGCATATACTTGTTTTATAAATATTTATCTTTGAAGATTTACTCTAAAGGAAAAGATGTGATCCCTACTTTTTATGGTCCGAAATAAAATGTTCCTGATTCGTTACTTCTACAGTTCTACTCTTGTTTAATTCTCTTTAGAATAAACAAAAACATGCATGAGCTTTTATAAATTAAACTGTTTGAGCATACTGATAATTCAATTTTATGAATTATTGAAAATTAAAGTGAGGCATCAAAATATTAGGGACATAATCATAAAAAATTCATTCCGGTGGGTGGACTTAAAATAAAAGAATGAATTGACGAAAATTTCAAATTTACCCGACCAATGCTCATTCGTTTATAGTTTTTAGTCAAACTTACGATGGTTAAAAAGAAACATTACGATCCTTTTGGTAGTGCGTGCATATATACACAGATATCGTGTAAAATAAAGTCCAACACTGCAAGGCTTAACAGATCTGTATGATTCCAGAATGGTTGCAAATTACTAACAGGAATTGGGTCTAACAAAATAGCCCATAACGCAATGAACCAATGTTTGAATTCTTGTTGGGAGAGATACTCATATTTAGTGTCTGACAATACTTCAAACAGGATTGCCTCCAATAAGAGGATACATCTGCCTGCCGAAAAAAAGAAAGGAATACTTGCAGATTGTGACAAAGACAAAGAATTGTTTAGACACATGCGCACAGGTCAAAATTTTCTCCTGTGTACTTTGTCATTAGACTTTTTATTAGTCTATTTTAAGTGATTTGGCATCATTCATACAAGAGGAGTTTTGTCTCATCAAGTGTCAAAGAGCTTTTTCTTTTTTGGTAATTAATAATGGAATTTTCTTCATATGATCAATCTGTTCTGCCGTATCAACATCTGGCCATAAAAATTTAAAAGTAAATCGAAATTTTTTGAGGGTCAGATATGCAAAACTTGTTTAATATATTTATTGGAAATATCAAATTACACATTGAAATCTGTCCTTGTTTCTACCTCATTGTTGCCCTCATGAGGAGTACCGTTATGAGATATTTCAATATTATTGAAGAGAATAACAGAAGGAAAGTCTACATCTCACAAATCAAAGACGGCAAATTTTTTAGTAAATTGTCTTAAAAATGATTGTTATTTGAAATATCAAAATTACTATCAAAATTTTAATATTAACTTTTTTTTATAAAAATGATAGTAATTTGATATTTTAAGCATAATAATAATTTTTAATATTAGTCAACGTGTATTTGACCAAACGTGGATGCTCATGTAAATTCCCCATAATACGTCAGCCTACAAGGGCTTATTAGATTTCCACCTAGAGAACATGGAAAAACATTCTTCAGACTCGTACTCTGGTGCTATATGTCCTGCACCCTGCAAATATAATTAATAGATATTCTTAGATTCTCATTACAGTAAAAAAATAATAATAAAGAGAGTTCTCATTTTCGACAAGTAATTACATTTTCTTATTATATAAAGTTTAATTTATTTTTTCAAAAGAAACTTGTTCATACCTTTACAGTCGCAAATGTCATCTGATTTGAGTAAGTCTTTGTGTATCTGCTTAAAAGGGAGATTATGTGTGCTTAGCACACCATAAAATTGAAAATTCAATTGAACTTACTTCTTTTTAAAAGTTCCATTTATTGAAATGTAATTCAATGTGGCATTCAATGATGTAACATTGTAGAAAAAATATATTCGTCCTATTATTTTACAAAGTCAATATTAATTAACGTGATTAATATTTGAGACTGTTTCGCTAATATTTAAAATTTCTATACGAGCATTTTTGTTAATAAAACCAATGATATTAGGCTTAGATAATTGAAAAACATCTTATAAAATTAAAGTAAAAAAATAAAATCTAATAGTAGTGTAAAATTAAAGGACAAAAAGTACACTTTTACTTATCTTCTTTTAAGCCATTCTCCTAACGCCTTGCTATACTCAAATCACTAATAAGTTTACTGAACCAAACCACCCCCCCAAAAGTTAACTATTCAATTTGTTTACAATTAGATATTTTATGGTACCAACTAATTCAAATTCAAGTCAATCCAATCACATCCTTATAAACTTAATTTTTGGGTGATAAAAAGAGTACCCAGCAACTTGGCCTTGAACGAGCCATGGCCTCCAGTCATCCAAGATTGTGTAGTTTAAATTTCTGATCCGTGCTTGAGTCGCCATGAATGATATAATTGGGTCATGATCCCCACTGTGTAATATTCAACAAAATTATCATTAATTTTTTCGAAGCTAACTGTTTTTTTTCCAATAGAATTATTTCATGATGAGATCGAAACAAATCAAACTTTATTAGGGTATCAAAATCATAAAACAACACCATGATATACTACTACTATTCTTTTGTATTTTCTTCTTAAAGAAAAAAAATCTAAGGAGAATTATCATGAGGTCTCAAAGAAGGAATTTAATTATCAAGAAATCTGAATAAGAAGTGATTAGCATAAACATGTTGTCATTTCCTGCCTTGGAACTTGTTATTTTATGTTTTAACTAAATCCCTTTCTGGAGATTTGATTGTAATTCTCCCAAAATTTTATACGAAAGTGAATTACTCACTTGTAGATTAAGGAGCGAAAGCCTTTTGCACTGAGATTTAAATGATATTCAAAGCTGCTAACGATTTCAGACTTATAGTTCCCATCAAAACAACGTCGCCATTTCCCTATGTTTCCCTGCCATATATAAGCTAATTATGAATTAATATGAATTAATTATTAGTGAAAATTTTTTGGTATAAAAAAGAGAATATATATATATATATAGTCACAAAAGAAAATGGGGATGATGATGATATTCATAAATGTGTCAAAGCTTTCTTATATGGAGTGCCTTGCGAACGTTGTCATCATTGGCCCAATATTTGGCCAGATAGAACACAAATACCTTGTAAATCAGAGAGAAATTATTAAATCAATTGTTCGATAAAATCTAAAATAACATATCTTTGACATTATTACATTATAGCGAATCTATATATGCATGCATGAGGGTTAAATATGTATTGAATATTATTATACATCCATGATATGAGACAGTACTGTTGTAACACCCCGAATTTTATGATTTAAGATGAGTAGAAAAGAGAAAAAATTTATTAAAATTATTTATTTGCCAAATAAAGGGGGAAAATTATGGAATAATGATTTTTAGGGTTTAGAGACATTTTGGAAAAGGTATTTCCCAAAAATGGCTTAAATAATTTTAATAGATAATTTTAAGAGAAAAATGGTTTATTTTCTCTGAAAATTATGGAAAAATACTTAGAGGTTTCTAATTAACTAGAAAATTTTAGGGAAATTATCTTATGATGTAGAGAATTTATTTGAGGCATAAAATCCTTAAAATGGGTTAAGGATTAATTTCTGGATTTAAGGGCTATTTTCTTCCACAATTCAAGAAAAATAGGTAGGAGATTATTTTTGACCCGAACTTTTTATGGACATTATTTCATGGGTCAAAGAAGCTAATGGATAAGAAAAATCCATTTATGATATTTTGGTTTAATTTCTGGATATATCTTATATTTCAGAAAAATAGGAAAGGGATGAGATTGGAGAAATAATTATTTTGGAGGGAAAAATGGTCCATTAAGTCAGACACTACACGTGCCATCTTCTTCATTAACACTCAGCTCACCGTGGCATCTTTTATTTCATTCGGCTCTGCAACGTAGAGGGAGAGAACGAGAGAAATAGAGACAGACCGAGAGAGAGAACGGAGAAGGAGTAGTGCCGGAGGTGGTGATCTGAGGAGCTACACTTGCATGCAAACCGATTAACTTTGCAAGGCGAACCTCCTGATCAATCTTCCGTCTTTTTCTTTTCTGTTTTCAGTGTATTCTAGCTGCAATGGAGGAGAGACAGAGTTGGGGTAGTGAGAGAAAGTGAAGAAACGAACAGGAGGACGGATGGGTTCGTGTCCTATAGCTAGATTGAGGTGTTTGATGCTGGGTTTTGAGCTTACATGTTGCTGTTGTCTCTGTTTCCTGAATTACCGAACAGGGATGGGTTATGGTCACTGGTTTGAGATGAGAATGGGTTGATGATTATGGAGTACGGTTAATGGCTTGCATGTGAATTCCTTGCTCTGTTTTGTGTCGGCTGAAAGCAGGGGTGATAGTCGCTGGTTTAGGATGATAATGAGTTATAGTTAAAGTCTATGTCATATGCGAACAGGATTTGCTGTTGCATGTAGGTTTTGTGGATGCATGTTGTTGAAAACCTCTGTTCTGGTTCGGCCGAAACAGAGACCAGTATTTCTTGGTCTGTGTTTTATTGATGTTGGGTTGGTTTTGGTTGAAAAGGGAAGCTTAAGATGTATAGGAGTAAGAATTGCCACTGCATGTGGTTTTGGTTTCGGCGAGTTGAAGTTCGATGGATTTGAGTTCGAATCTGAGATTTTTTTTTACAAATAGGATTTGTGTCTTCTTATCTTGGGAAGTTGACATCGGGTTCTAATGAAAAAAAAGGGGAAATAATCGGATTTGCCATTGCATGTCGGTTTTGGGGTGTTAGCCACTGGTTTTACGTGAAGTTTTTGCTGTTGAATGTATGGAAAATTGATATGCTTTTGTTGACCGAAACAGGGACCGTAGTTGCTGCTATAATGCTGTCGGGTTTATGGGTCAACGAAGGGTTGATGATATAAACATATATATGCTGGACTTTTGCGGGTTAGCTGAGAGTTTTGGAGTTTGAATAATCTCTGGTTTTGTTGTTCTAGGTACGGCCGAAAGGGAGAGTTGAAGTAATTGAATGGAATAAATATGATGTGTGTGTGTGTGTTTTGTTGCTGTCATGGGACTGAAAATTTTAGAAACTAGAGTAGTGCAGATATATACATATCTATAGTTTCGGTACATGTGTATATATATAGGATGTGTGCGTGTATAAATATATATAAGTTTGAATGATGCTTACTTCCTTCTTTTGTGATCAATATATCTGGTTTGGGGAATGTCTTTGGACCTGGAATTAAGAAAAGGGATAGGTAGTGTTTCAATTGTAAGGAAATTAAGGAGAATAACGAGATGTTCAAATAATATAAGATAAATAAATATACATATATATTTTAGTTGTTGCTGTATAAAAGTGGGTCCAAGGATTCATAGATGATGGTTTAAATGTGCTTGAGCTAGGAATTAATTTGATGCTGTTGTTTTAGAATGTTAAACGAGGAGTTGAATAGAAATATTTTTCAGATTTGAGGTTACCAACCAGTGGATAGGAATTTTAAATAATTAGAGGATAGGTTGGCAAGGATTAAAGTTGTATAAGAGGATTATGAGGCTATGGGAGAATATATGCAATGTGTATGTGATTGAGCTATGAGTAGATAGGGATTGTAAGCGGAATTGTGGACATTGTAATATATATACATATATATTTATATATCTTTAGTTTTTCCATAATGACCAACCACTTAATAAAAGTGGCCAGATTTGGAAAAGGGAATACGATGTTATCCTTAAATTATAATAAATAGAAATAGTGCTTTTGACCAAGATGACCAGTTACTGGGTAAAGTAATTGTTTGGGTTGAGATAAGGAAGGAAACTCTCCAAAGAGAAAAGTTTAAATAAGAAAAATTGTCCAGGATGACCAACTATTAAGTAAGGGTAGAGATTGAAAGAGATTGGGATTTAAAGAGAGTTATTTAATTTATAAATTATGTTGGATCAAGCATTAACCTACCCTTACTAATATGATAGGTTTTTATATCTGCTCAAGCCCACCAAGAAGCAGAAAGATAGGAGAACGGTAAGGTTTGATTTGGAGGGATGCGGACCAGGTAGTAGTTCTTTCCTCCCTTACACTTGTGTATGATTGCTGCATGTCTGTTTGTGCCATATTGCTATTCAAAAAGCATGAGAACATGTAATCCTTAATTCCTTGCATGGATTATTTAGCCGTGATCACGTGCAGCTGATAGACATGGGGCAGTGATTGCCAATTATTTGCGCTTTATTTATTCAGCTTGTCTAACCAACATGGGGCAGTGATTGCCAATTATATGCGCGGCAGTGATTGCCTATTATTTGTGCATTATTTATTCAGCTTGTCTATCTGTCATAGCGCATAAATGCTTAATTGCATTAGCTTGCAAGGTTTTGTTCCATATGGCTTGTTTTGCATGTTTTATGTGATCTGCACATTTGTTTGATGGAAATTACTACTACGGGGATTCTTCGGAATCTCACCCCCCAATTTATGATGAACAGTGAAAGCTAGTAGCCTGAAGGACAAGGAGGTTGTTTAAGAAGAAGGTGGGCTGATTGAAGAGCAGAGATACCTGTTATAATTCTGTAAATTGTATAGTAAAATATTCGGGCAAGTAACTTTACTTGTTTTATGGAAATATTATTTTGTATCCTTTAGAAGAAGGAGGTGAGCATTGCCAGGTGCACTTATATGCTGTCAACCAAGAGCGTTGCTTTATTTTTAATATAATATTATAAGATTGTATAGTACGAAATTATTTTAGGTGATAATAGATTGAGTTGAAAGCAGGGTTGATATTGGATCACTAATCTGTTATCTGAAGGTTTGAAACACTTGATCAACGGATTCCAATGTTAAAGGAAAAAAAAATTCCCTGTCTTTTCCCAGGATGGAAACCTGGCGTTAGTGATTCACAGACGTTAAAAATGATCCTATTAGTATATAAAAGTGAGGTGTTGCAACTGTGATGATTTATAGAAATATAAAATTCATCAGAACAAGTTAATTATAATTATATATGAGACAGTACTATGATAAAGTACTTTGTGGCTACAGACACACATACTTGCCTTGTAGAAATGGTCCATGTCTTTGATGCAAGCAAAACTGTTCTTATCTTCCTCAAAATGCTCATAGAATGACTGTTCAAGATTAGACAGATTATTAATTAGTACTAAATCTTGAATAGATCGAGACTAAATAATCATGATTTTTTTTTTGGAAGAAAGTAAAGAAGTTGATAACTACTTGGGGAGACATTATTAATTAATAATGAAGCAACAATTTGTACCTTGTATAGTTCATCAGGGACTATTCCCATTCCATGCAGAAACGGGATCATATGAGTATCATGTTCTGTATTTGTTGTCAAAGCGTTCCCTAGCACGTATTCCTGATTATCAGATTGATTAATTATAAATATAAGCACGCAATTTATGATACTTTACCTAAGAATTTTAAGTCTCGCAACATTATTATTTTAAGTTGTAATTCCCTCCTATCCTAAATGTGGGAGTCGGTTTGATAAATGTGGGAGGTAGTTGATGAGTGTTTGTTTTGATTCAATCTTAATTTCTTTCCTCTCCTATATTTATTATTTTTTATTTTTCAAATTATTTCTATTGATCGCACACACTAATGTGAATGCATACAAGTAATTTCTAATATAAATAATTAAAAATAAGGATATTTTTAAAAAATAACGCATTTTCACAAATATTTAATTTAATTTATTTTCTTAATTTGTGTGAATTCTACCACATTTAGAATCAGAGAGTAATATGTAGTATTAAGTAATTACATTTTTTGTATTTTTTTTATTTTGGAGGGGATAAATATTCATTTGAGCTACTGTTTATTAATATATGTTCTCTTAACCAAATGTATTATGTGGAGGAGTATTTTCGTTATAGAATATATATTATATGGTAAATAATATATTTTCTAATGAATTAAAGAAAACGAGTGAGTAGAGAAGGGAAACAGTCACAAAGTTAGCTCAAAGTAAATAGAAAAAAAGGAGAGAAACTTGCAAACCTGAACATTTATCCATGGTTGGATGCCTTTTTCATTTCCTGTGAATAAAAATGTAGCACATAATTAGCTTGATTAATTACTAACATTATTATCTTCACCTAATTAAAAAGTACTAATAATATCGCCCCCCCAAAAAAAAAAAACTTGTGTTTGTAGGTTAATAGAGTAATATTCTTGACAAATAATGAATATTACCTTTGGTATTTAATATAAGAGCTTATTTGACTTTTATTTTAGTCCTAAATATAAGACCCCAGTTTACTTTA